ATCATACCCCACTATCTGCACTGCATGGTTATTGAATCCAGCTGAACAATGATGCTGTATGATGCCACCCAAGTAATCTTGCCAACTGCGAGCATTCAATGCTACAACCAAAGAGCCATTGTAGTACAGGTTTTCCACCATCTTATCTTCTTTACCAATATACCTAGAACAGAAAACATTGTATGAATTGTGAAAAGTTGGATGTACAATATCAGGCAGTAAATTGCTACATGTGTTTGTGAGTTTCAAATAACATATTGAAGGTATAGTGAGAATATTTCAAAAATGACTGATTCCCAATCTTAATATATATCCACCATGTGAACATTTAGATAGAACACCATGACCAAAAGTGCTTTAGAGCCCTTACAAAATTATTTCAATATTGAAATCCATTGTTATTGGCAATGCACCATTTTATTTGATGCTGATTTTAGTCATAATTTCTTTTCTTTTTTAATACCTTCTCTTTTTTTTCTTATCGAAAACAACATTTTATTCATATCCATGGTACAGGCCCTTGATTGGATACATTATTTCAAATAATCTGCAGCAATGACGTAACAAAATTCACTGATATTGATAATGCTATAATATAATAGTGATTATTGTACACACTTTTTCAAATTCTTAGATGAATCTACTATCAGAGATGGCAGATCACCCTCGCCCCTAGCATTTATTTATGAGTTGGTATGCTTATTGTTTTTATTGGAGGGCTGTGGTGTATAAACTACTGTAACAATAATGCAAATTTCTATTTAAAAATAAACTTACTCCTTACAGGTGAAGTCCTTCAAGTGAACACCTTCAGTGTAACTGCAAAAGTAACAATAATTGCATGATTATAAAGTAAAAAAATCACAGTAGATGAAATTTTGTGGGATTTCCAAGAACATGTTTTGATGATGTCAGTTTTACATCACAGTGGAGAATTGAAATACCGATGCTTAAATACAATCTGTTGGCACTGATTTCAGCAAAAAAACGACGAGATTTTGTTTAAAAAGTCATTAAACAGAGTGCAAAAATAATATTTAACGCCTATCTCAATCACCATCGTAACTGTCCAGAAAAGAAAAAAGATGTTCAATGACCAGGTATCATTGCCCTACATATTAATTTAGGTTGTTTCGGAAGACGTTAAGTGAAACGTGACCAAAAAAAACAGAAAGGGTAGAGGCTAAGTCAAGGAAATTCTCTACAACCCACAGAACATATAACGATGGCAACAGAATTCTAAGTAGAATATACTACATTTTGAGTCATTGTTTACTCGAGAGATTAAATTACAGAAAATATTATTCGTTTTTCATAGAGTTGGTTTTTGTTTGTTCATTCTGAATTACTGACATATTCACAGGAATCAAAGTAACAAAATAGCAATCAATATAGAAGCTACTCACTTTTTTATTCTACATTCACCAGTGTGTCCTGTGAATGGGTAATTATGGGATGTGATCAGTCCAACATTTTTGGTTTTTAGCCAAGCCATAGCGATGCATGTATCACCACCAGCACACCCACTACTGGATGTATCACAGTCAATCAGTTGTTGCACGCTCAACTCAGTCATTTTACCACCATTTAGTACCCACTTAGTTTCCATTCCTTGCACTGTACTGAAAGACCTAACAAGTGAAGACATTGAAGCAAACATTATAGTACAGTCTGCCCCGACTTTCTGAACACATGATTTTAGGTTAGAGACACAACACAGCACCAAACAACAGATAACAGAGAGACAGCAGTGACCTAAATCAATGTAAATGTTGCCTGGCACCAAAACATAATTAAAAATAAAAGAAAAAAACAAATCTAAAGTATATACATTTAACCTGATACTGTACTTGCTAATGATTCAAAATAATATATATTAGATTGGGTAAACTACTAGCTATGTAATGAGCATTGATGCAATCATGGTAATGGCATAACAATCAAACTCTCTATTTTGTTTACATCAGACACAGAAGCCATATGAGGAAACCAAATTTCTTAGCAAGGAGTCTCAATTTCTTAAGTCAGGAGCCCAAGTTTCTCAGTGATAAGCCTAAATCCAAATCCTATTTCTCAGTGAGGAGCTCTAATTTGTCACTGAAAATCTAATAAACATTCCTTTTTATAGCACGCATTTCAATACACATGATTTAAGGTGTTTTCTGTGCAGAAAATCACAACATTTCTTAGTATTAAATGTGCTTAGAATGAAAGAACATTGACACTGAATAGCAGTGATATATAAATGTTAAGAAATACTCACCAACAGCCACCACACTGTGAGAGGAGAAAACAAAAATAGAAATATCAGAGGCATATCATTAGTCAGTAAGAATAGTGTTGACATTTTTATACCGGTACTACTATGAGCGTAGACTCAAGTAATGGAGACAATATCAAACAAACCCCTCCCATGAACTGTCAAAAAATAATCCTAAATATCATTCTCTCCCTTTGCAAGAATCTACACTGACGTTTCTTCTTATTTGACAAGAAATATAACTACCAGTAGTTATGCACTTGAGTCTTCCAATATTTTTTGTTTCCATGTTTGAAAACACCAATGTTCACATTCTTTGTTCTACAATCATGTTACAACTAATTAAATCCAATTAAAAAATAGAATTTTTCTTCAAAACAATTTTAAATTATAATTATTTGTTGATGGAGCAAATAAATCTTACGACATTTGTACTAGAATTACAGTCATTCTTGATTAGTTATCGTCTCATCTCCATTATACTAAATGCCATAATACAATTTACTAGTAGACACTCTCCAGGGACTGCTCACACAACTCATGATAACAAGTAATAAGGATATCGCTTACCGAGCCTTGGTCTTTGACTGCACTCACTGCACTCTTATCTCTCCTGAAACCGAGACAATGTAGCAAGATATCTTACATCATTACACAATAATACTCAACCAATAAATTGAAAACAACATCTGAATAAAATTTAGAAAATCAGTTGACATTCAGAATTATTTCTTTATTATGTTATTTTGTATGGGTCTATAATATCAGTTTATTCTCAAATTTTCCCCAAAACTAATGTGTATACATTCATGTATTATTAATTATAAAATTTATACTACAAGCATATATCAAATATATTATAAAACAGATTTTCCAAAATTAATTCTGTAAAATACATTAATTTGATAATGCATATGATAAATTCATATCAAGTCAGAGGGAGAAATGAATCTGTGATGAAATGAATCTGTGATGAAATGAATCTGTGATGAAATCATTTTTTTCTATGAATTGACGTTTTTACATATTTTTACATATATAAAAAACATATTCTCTTTTCATTGTCATAATAGTCTGTCGGTGATCACTCGACTGAAAATAGTGTACAATAATACAAAAAATTATATAATGAAAAAAAAGAATAATCAAATATATTGAAGCATTATTGGAACTTACAAATCATACTTCTTAGGCATATCAGGAGGCACATTCGAGCTGTTAAATGCACTTGGAAATTGGACCAATGATACAGGAATCTGCGATGATTTTGATGGCCTTAAGGTTAGATACATTTGTTGAAATTCATCAGGTGTGAGATCCGAAAATTGCGTAATTCCATAAACTGCTGTGTCGTTAAGTTGTCTTGACAGAGAAATACGCTTACGGATTCTGTGTAAGCTTTGCTGTGAGTTAAACATACATATATTGAGAGGTATGGAGTAATGCTCATTTACTGGCAACTGGGGTAGTGAATAATTGGAAAACTAAGTTTAATACATCTTTATGGCTAAAACAGACATATTGCAGACCAACTTATATATAGTTCTAGTTCTCTATAAACCTAACATTTATCTTCTTCTCACAGGGCGTTTTCAAGACTATCTCATAAAAAAATCAAACATTAATTTTGTTAGGCCGAAGAAAACAATTATTTGTTGATGGTCAGAATGTGTGTCAATTCAAACAGGGTCACTCACAACATTTTTATTTTTTGGTTCTTTGTAGAATATTGTGAAATTAAAAAAAATATATATATCTTATGACCTTACGTATTATTTTTTACTGATTTTTAATTGTCTTTGTTTATTGGCCCTGCTTGCACCTGCCAGTTATCCTAATAGTATTCATAACTGTTGTTCACTATTGATCATTCTCCGCTTCAATGTTTGCAATACATGTAATTTTGTAAATTATTTAAGGGACATTAAGGTACACGTACAATACATTTGTCAAGTGGATGAATATCAGAATGACAAGCAATCCCCGCAATCACCTGTCCACAATAATAATACTTAAAAATTGATTGCATTCATAGAAATACAGTTTGTATTGGTAGACAAATAAAATGTTAGTAATAAAATACAATATTGTATAAATTTCAGTCATTGCTGCTTATGATTTCAAATAATATAATCCATGTGATCGTTTGATCTATAGAGTTATATTCATATGATATAATTTTGATTCATATGATCTGGGCCAGGACATACAGACCCTTTGCAGCAAACAGCCCTTGTATGTATGTATGTATGTATGTGTGTATGTATGTATGACAGTTCAAAACATTTCAATGAATAGTGGGTAAGAGTTTCTTAAGGCCCCTCACCCATAACTCTAATCCCAACCTTGTCCCTCCAGTGCCCCTTCCTCTTTTGATTGTATATGCCTTCTTCAGGACATGTATAGTTGATTGTATATGCCCACTTCAGGACACGTATAGTTGATTGTATATGCCCA